TCTCAAGTTCCAAACTTTGAATTTCCTTAAAGCTTTCCTCACTGCAAAATACAAGTGCTTCCTTAGGTGGACAATCCTTTGAACTTTAGTTAGCACTTCTACATTGTTTTTATGAAAGTGAACTCCAGATATTCTCAGATACAGTGGCAAAGTGAGAGGTGGGACACACAGGAGAAATAAGGCACCAAAAAAGAAATTATAGGGAGCTTTGAGGTTGAAAATAATGCAGAAAAATTAAATAAAACAGCAGAAAGGATCAATTTTTGACTGGTCTTAATAATGTCATCATTGACATTGGAATCCTTAAGCAATGTGAACAAGAAATATTATAAAAAAATACCTTACCAGCCAGTCATCAAATACAAGGTTCTTAATTCTCTCCAGCATAGGATTTTTTTCTGCATCTGAGGCCACAATATCAAATAATCAATCACCCTTTCGGGTCAAATCTCTCTTTGAAATACATCGCACCCAAAAGCTCTGCTTTTCAGATGCACTGTTGTAATACGGTGACAGTTTGCTTATAATTTGGATATGCTGGAGCTGCACTGAGATTTCATGCCAGCGTTATCTTTCATTCTTGTCTATTTTGTCTAAGAAGTGTACTGCTATCTGACTTTTTGCATCAAAAAAGCTGACATACTCTGTGTACACAGAATCTTGAGGCTCCACCTTTCTTTGGGGTCAAATAAACCCAATTAGTGAATCTGTAGAGGCCTCATATAATGGTGGAGGAGGCAGGGTGTTGTTCAGTAACTTCATATTGACTCAGACTGCTGGGCTCCCAACAGGTGCCTCTCCTGCCTCTCTGGCTCGGTGTCACCTTTGCTCACTAGTCTAACACCCACCCATACTGCTTGTCTAGTTGGGTAATCCAGACTCCAGCCATTGCAGAACCATCTGGCTCCCATATCCACTTGAGTCTAGTTCTGTGTCTGGAATACAGAAAGTATTCAACAATATTGTATCAAGCACTACCTATTGAATAAGTTAATAAATTAGTGAGTATGTCTACAGAAGAGCTACTCGTATATTTAAAAGAAAAGAAATGACGAGAGGAACAGGTGTTCTGGGAGGTTCCTCAGAGCCTTGTATCTTAAAAGCTTGTTGCTCTGGTGATGCTATTTGAAGGTCATAGAACCATTCTGAGCAGGGGCTTAGTCTCTAAGGTGTTTTCTCAGGGAGGAAATCGCTATTCCTCAACCTTTTCTCAATTCTCCGCCATCCACTCACAGTGAACTGAGCACCTTTGCTTTCCATGACAATACCTGGCTTCACCAGGGCTCAGAAACAATGGGGTCAAGTGACCATGGACTGAATCCTCAGAGACTGTGAGCGGGAAGAGCCCTTTATTCTTATCAGTTATTTTTCTCAGGCATTTTGTCATTGCAACGGGAAGTAAAGGAATTTTCTTGACAGCAAGATCAGCAGCGAAACAATATCTGTCAGTAATGATCCAACTCATACTGTGTGGCAGTCATTGTCCTAAACACTTTAAATGAGGTATTCATCTAAAGAATAGCATAAGTGCAAAACTATTACTATACTTTATGAAGAATAGAGAAAGGTCCAATAATTTGCCCAAAGTCACATATGGGAAAAGGTAGAAATGAGGACTGGGCTCCTGAGCTGGTGCTCAGAGCTGTAACTTCATGAATTACTCATGAAACTGACAGGTGGGCGTGGCCAATGCTTTTAGGCACCGCTCTGCTTCTGTGAGTGTTTACATAGTAAAAAAGAACTGTTCCCCCTTGAACAGAAGGAAGTCAGAGGTCAGCCCTTGCTCTTCATCAACCATTGGTACCCATTTGACTCTGTTCAAGTTACTGAGAGTCTGACAAATCTCAATCTGCATTTCACCTAGAAAATTCTTTGAACGCTAACATAAATAAATAAAATAAATAAATGATATAAATAAGTAAATGTAGAATCATTCTTTATTAGAAGAAATAAATTTATATGAAAACAAGTGTTCTATGTGTTTAATTTTCCAGCTATATATTTAAAATTCTCTTAGAACTTCCGCTTCACGCTATCAATTTGAATATAACCACTATAGTGTTTATATCTATATTCTGTAGAAGGACGTGGCACAAAGGAGCTAATAGTGGTGCTCATGCATCTTCAGAAGAGTTTGATTTAACTTAACTAAATCTGTGGGAGAAAATTTAACAAGAATCATATTGTAAGGTAAAAATAGAGAATGCAAAGTTTCCTTAGCAGCAACAAGGAGTTGGGTGCAGGGTGATGCCCTCCAACGGATATGAAATGTTATTACTTTGTAAAGAAATAAAAGAATAATAAGTTTAGAAAATTAACTATCAAATTACATTTTTTTAAGAGGGGCACTTAAAATGTTGATGAACAAATATAAGATGATGACTCAGGGGCACTAAAAGTGGGAAGTGTGTGGATTCTACCAGATAGTAGAATAAGTACTGAGAATCCGGTTTATCACCCATTGTGATTAACAGCAGACTGCTGAAAAGGCAGATGTGATACTACCACAGTAAAACCAGCCTCTTAGAAAGATGCTTCCAATTAAATCATGGAAAATCAAAACAGGAAAATGTTGAGGGAAAACATCTTGAAGACCTTATTAATGGCACAGTCATAAGGAGGACTTTATTAGTTTTGAAACAGTGAACACCAAAGCTCGTGTGCAAAGCATGCCAAGTGACAGGCAAGCGTGTCTCCCTCCCAGCAAGTCTTCCTTTAAGATGAAAGTTTCCCATTTCGTTCCTGTTTACTTCAATACCAGGATCTTTTGGTTTGGTTAAATTTTAGTCATGGTACTTTGACATTTGATTTCATGCTTTAATTGATCTCTGTGTATGTATGTCTGCTCACTATTTGTTGCTATCTCCTGCCTGACACTTTGCGTTCTACCTATGTGAAGAATTCATCCAATCAGTTCAGACTCTTCCTTTACAGAATAATGCCATTTACGTGTTCACTTTTTGGTTATGCTTTTTATTTGATTCTGGTAAGTTTCTCATATATACGTTTGGCTTTATGACCAGCCAACTTTCTTATGACAGCTGCCATATTTTACTTTCTGCAGTTTTCAACCTCAAAGGTCCTCTAGTTCCTTTTTTTTTCAGTGTCTTAGTCTCCTTCTGCTTTCTTACTCCTCTGCCAAATTCTTTATCTGGAAAGTGTGACATGCATGAGTATAAAACAGATTTTCCTAGAAATTCTTTTTTTATATATTTGGGGTCTTGGTAGTAAGACAGAATATAGTTCAGACATATCAAAAGAGTTTTCTAGATCAAAATTAAATTTCACTTTGTAAAAATGGACTTTTAATCTCTTGATAGCTATTAAAATAAACTTTTCCCACATATATAATTAACAGTAACTGTCTTAGGTAATTTTTTAAATATTGCTGTGACAAAAGCAACTTAAAGGAGAAAGGTTTCTTTTATCTCACAGCCTGGTTCCAGTCCATCAGGTGGGAGTTTCCAGCAACAGAAGCCTGAGGCCACATGCATTCACAGCCAGGAAGTGGAGCATAATAAGCAAATATACTCAGATCGTTGTCTTCTTTTATAAAATCTGGACATCAAAGAATGGTTTCACCTGTACTGACTGGGTCATCCCACCTTATTTGGGCTAATCAAGACATCAAGGCAATCTCTCACTTACATGCCCAGAAGCCTATCTCCCAGGTGATTCTACATTTTATTGAGCTAAACTCCCTAGTATCCATAAAAAGAAACAAACAAATAAACAATCATCAACAACAACAAACTAAGGAGTTTTTTATGGTAGTACTAATATGTATTCATTTAGGACAAACATCCACTTTGCCACATCTGTTCTAAGGTGAGCTGAATGGAAATGTTCCCCAGAGGCTCAGCTATTTGAACACAAGGTCCCTATTTCTTGTTGTTGTCTGGGGAGATACTACAGCTTTTCAGGGAAGTATGCTGCTGAGGCAGACTTAGACAACTCATAGTCATCCCATATCTCCAGCTCACTCTCTCTGCTTCATGCTTGCAGTGGAAGATGGAATTTCTCAGCTTCCTTTTCCTGATGGTATGTATCCCTCCCACCAGGATGGATTCTCATGCCTGTGGAACTATAAACTAAAATAAAATTTTTCTTCTGTACATTACTTTTTGTCATGGTGTTGTATCACAGCAACAGAAACATAAGTAATAGATTCTCTTTGATTTGACAAAATCGAAAGACAACAATCCTTTGACCCACCCATATTTCTTTTATCTAATAACCCCACCCCATCAGCCAAATTACTTACCTATCATAAACTACATGGTTTAAAGCTTGTGCTATTTTCTCCTCAAACAGCAACACAAAACAGAGACAAAGTGTTCAAATATCTGAGTCTGTGAAAAATATTTCATTCAACTCACATTAAAGCAGATGTGGTGAAATTGACGTTTTTTTTTCTAAATGAGTATATATTAATATTCATATATATAAAAAAACCTTAGTTTTTATTGTTGTTTGTTTGTTTGTTTTAATGGTTGTTGGGAAATTGATCTCAATAAAAAGTAGAATAATGTGGAATGCAGGCTTCTGGACATGTCAGTGAGAGATTGTGTTGATTAGGCCAAGTGAGATGGAAATCTGAGTTCCCCTACCTTTCCACTCAGCAATATCTCACTTACATGGCTAATGTGATAGACCATTTTTTTCTACTGTACTTAGGACGCTGAAAATATCTAGAAAAACAATCTCTAGACCATCCATCAGTTGGTACCACTATATACATTTACAACTTACAATGATGTAGTCTCAGTGCCTTCATATATATATATATATATATATATATATATATATATATATGCCATATAACCCTAATTGTCCCTAGCATCTATGTTCCCCATCTGACTTCTTCACTATCTTGTACCTTCTCTGACTTTATTACCAAGTAAGCTTGCCTCCTGCTTCATAGATCTTAGCCTATTCCCCATCTACCTCGCTTCCATCACTCCCATTCATGCCTGCTTTTCTTAAATCACAAAGCATTAATACTTAACCTGGTAGAGGAGGTGCCATGAACATGAAGGTGATTTTTCCAGTGCAAGGCTTATCCATTGCTCTTTGCTGACTCCTAAGATTTCCCCAAATGCGAGAAACTTGACTGCATAATTTGTGATCGTGGAGGACTGAGATTGTGCTCTCCCCTGAATTAAAAAAAAATACAAAGAAGTATAGAAGAAAAGTTAATATGGTTTTTCACTTTTCATAGAGTTTATACCTTATGAGGAGACAAAGAAAAAGAAAGCATGTAAGTTTACTCAGTACAAATGTCATGAATAGGAATCTTCAACAAGGAAGATGAGAGAGACTCAGCAAAAAGGAATACTTTCTGCTGTTCTAGAGGGCCTGAGGTCAGTAAGCAGGACTTGCATCTGGTAGCTCACTAACTGTCTATAGCTCCACCTCTAGGGGATCTCATTTTTATTTTTGTAGGCTCTAAGGGCACTCAAACACACATGGCATACATTCCAACCCATCCTCCACAGATCTAAATATAAACCTTTTAAAATATCAAGGTCAAAGAAACAAACTGTATATTTCAGCTTAGATTTGTGAAGTGTGACAGTCATTTGGAGATGTAACTGCACAGAAGTGGGTGTGGTCTGACGATAGGAAATGGAGGGGAATTTAGCAAGACCTGTTCGTTCAGATTCTTCACTGTAGTTCTGTGTCTTCGCTATTTCCTCCCAGTATGAAGGGCCAGGCTTGAACAAGAGTTGTAGGATCTTTTCTAACAGAAAATTAAAGAACCAGTATGGCCTGCTGCAGGGAAGGAGGAAGGAAAAAAATCAAAGAGTACCTCTGTTGTTGTCTTCATTGCCAAGAGGCCATGTGCAGGGTAGCAAAGCCTAGAACTTGTTCAAGCATGGGTCTCTTTCCTCCTGCTGAAGACCTACTCCTATGCTTGAGATTTCAGCACCTGCTATTTGTTCTAAGATTATATTTCCTATTGCTTTCTACGTGTTTCATTTTCTCGTGATTTTCTTACTGTCTTAGTTGCTGTTCTATTGCTGTGAAAATATACCAAGGCAAAGGTAACTCTTATAAGAGAGAGCATTTAATTGGGGGTTGGCTTACAGTTTTATATACTTAGTCCAATATTGTCATGGCAGGGAGCATGGCAGGTATCCTAATCCTTTCAAATAGTGCTACTCCCTGGTGACTAAGCATTAAACGTGCAGCACTCCTACTCACCCACACCTGTACTTTCCTGTTGCATGTAGCTTTTGCTACCCTGCCTAAGCTCTGGAACTGACCATGTAACCAGTCCCTGCCAAGAGATTATAGGATCCATGGATGAAAAACAGACATACACAGTTGTTCAATTTCAACTTCCCTAATTGTTTTAATTGCTGGGCACTATTAATCTACCTCAGTTAGCATACCCTTCCCGGAACTCTCAGCTCAGCACCCTAAATCTGTATTCAATTTCAGTTGCTCAGCAACCTTCAGTCTCAGCTCAATATCCCCAACCTCCCACCTGTAGAAGTAGCCTGTGTCTTCTCCATCTGAGATGTCACATGGCTGGTCACTTTTTGTCTCTCTGAAGCTTGGCAGAAAACTGTCTTCTCCTCTGTGTCTGCTAGCTTACCTGCTGGGCTCCAGAAGTCCTGCCTATCCTTCCACCCAGCAAGTGGCCCGTGGCTTCTTTAGTGATAGATTAAGAGCCAATTGGGGAACAGGACCTTAGTATCAGCACCACCTCTACACTATACCTCTCCAGATTCTGCACCTCTCCTTCATGCTAACTTAGTTTAATCAGATGCAAATCTTCCTTCCAGCACTCAAACTTACTGTAGTCCACTCTGGAGGGCTTAGTTATACACGCTCTGACAAAAGATCACATCCAAAGACCTTGGTCTTTGGGATCCAGCTGGAATATGGACATGCCTTTAATCCAGGAGACAGAGACGAACAGATTTATGATTTCAAGGCCATCCTGGTATAAAGCAAGTATCAGGTAAAGAAAAGCTTAGGTTTAAGTGTGGTGTTAACACACTTTAATCCTAGCACTCAGGAGACAGAGGCATTCAGATCTCTGAGTTCTCGTGAGTACTGTTCAGTGTATTTGGTTCAGTGTATTTGGTTGAGTCAGTAAGTTGAGGAAGTGGAGTTAAGTTCATGGAATTCAAAGGCAGTTGTATCAGGAGAGTTTTACAGAGACAGGTAAAGAGAAAACAAGCTAGACACAGGTAAGACAGAATGAGCTAGAGAATGAGGAGCCAGAAGATTATAACAGATTGATAGAGTTAGTTTGAGGCCAAGAAAAGTAATCCAGTCAGAAGCTTAGTGAAACCAGCTTGAATCAGTCAGCTTGGACAAGAGTTAAAGCCAGAACAGCTATGTTGAACCAGCCAGCCAGAGTTCAGAAAGAGCTTATTTAGCAGTAAGTTTCAGAGGCTGAAAACATTTTATGCCTAGATAAGGATGTTTGGAGATCAGAAGTTTTCAGGGCTAGGCCTAGGTTAACAGACAGTGGCAGCAAGGTTCTAAGATGCCAATTACCTCTAGAGAATAAAAATTACATTTTCACTGTTGCCTGCAGATAACCAAGTCTACTGGTCATGCTTTGTCCCTTGTCTTCTTTTGACATCTTTAGTTGACATTGCACTATTTTCGTGGTTATGATTCTTTCTCTTTGCATGTTCTATAGGGATGCCACAAAAAGTTTATTGCCACTCACAAATCTCTTTTTAGTTTGTATACTTTGTGTAAATATCTGGCAATTTTATCATTTTTCATGCTTTGGAGTATTACTTAATCTAATAAATTCAGTGAATATTCCTCTCCCCTTTATGTATTTAACTACCTACCTGAAATATTTCCTTAGATGCCCTAAAATAACCATACTTGTTTCATATCTGAAATGAAACCCATTTCTGCCCACCCCTTGTATTTCACACCCTTCTCTTCTGTGAATGTAGTGATGGTGGTGTATCTGAGGACAACAGATCACTCCTCTGTTTAAACACTCTTTGACACGTTATCACCTGAAGGAAGACCTCTCCATTGGTGTAATGAGGGGCTTAGCTTTTCCTTATCCACCTTCTCATCCTCACTTCCAAACTCATCCAGCTTCACGGTTTAAGATTTAGAAATCCTGAACTATTTACCATTAAATAATCCATTACTATTTACCATTATTTACTATTTACTATTTACTGCCAGGGCAGTGGGTGAGCTTTTAAGCTTATTTGTGCTCCTTGGTGGATATTTTAGAAGTACACACTGAAGACTAGGTACTCATGCAGAAACAGCTGTTAAAACAATACTTCAGTATTTAGGTGCCTTACTGTTTTTGCATTCTGTTTTAATTTCATTGTATTTTCCGGGCAGGTAGTAGCAAAATAGAATTACTGGGTATGAATCATTGTCACTGTTTGCTGCTGACTGGGTTGAGTGAGTGATTTAAGGCAGCATCTGTGGTGCCCAACTGTGCAATAATTGAAGATCCCTAGAAAGCTGTGGCCACTGTGGGAACACGTTATACACTGGGCTGAAGCACCAAAGGATATCCAGATTCTGTTAGGTACAGGAACCTCAAAGTATTAGATTTCTAGCACATTCTCCAATTATTCTTGAGAATATCATGCAAGAATGGAAAGGAGACTGTCTTGGTTTAAGGTCACTGAAGAACTGTCCTGCACTGGGCTAATAGTTTTTGTGGATACACCTATAGCTGAATCATTTCCAAAGACTTGTGCAAGTGTGTAATTCCACAAGCCACATTATAGTAAATTCTCCCCAGGATAAATAAATTTTATGAACATTTGCTTTTCATTTTGTTGACAGAGAAACAAAGCTAGGCATTACATTGATCTACCTGGTCATAAACCTGGGCTGCTCTTCTTTCCCCCAAACATTTGTTTACCACTTATAGTCTTTTTATTATATGTGTGTGCACACGAAAGGTAGCTTTAGGTTATCTGTGGGAAAAGCATAAATTTGGATGTCAGAGGAGTCAGCTTGCTCCTTCTACATTAACATGTATTCTAAGGATCAAACTCAGATTTTGGAGTCTACAGCAAGTACCTCTAACCACAGAGGCATCTTGCTGGGCCCAGTAGTTATTTAGCAATCTTATTTAAATTATAGAGTTATCTTAATTCTCCAGCTGACATTTCTCCTTTTTGTAACATCTTATGTATATGTTATAGCTGCAGTGTTTTCTGAATATTTATGAGGGATCATTTGTTTTCTCTTAGTTTATTTTCTTCAGCAGGGGTTCAGCCCTCTTTCGTAGGTCATTTAATGCTTGCACTCCTGGATCGTTCTCTTTCCTATTACATAGTTCATTCAATGTCAAGTGTATTTTTATATAAGTAGAAGAACATGTGTGCACAAGCAGAGTTTATCCCCATCCTGTAAGTTAACTAGGGGCTCCTCATCTTGCAGGGAGGCCCAAAGGCAACAAAGTCAGCTTCTCCCACTTCAGAATTCTCACCAGACAAATGGCTTGTTTGTTTGTTTGTTTGTTTGTTTGTTTTGAAACAGACCCTGACTTTATTTTTAACTTGAAGAATAATGGCATGCCTTCTGGGGATTCTTTCTATATGACAGGCATGAAGGGAAGAGTTCCCAAGCTTGGCTGAAAAGATGTAGGTGGCACCTGAGTCCTGAGCACATCTGTGGAGCCTTTTTGTCTCAGCTCCTGCTATCAGTTCCTCGTGACTCAGAAGCCAGCTTGCCTCTGAAGTCCATCAAGGGAGCCACAGAGACCACTCTAGGCCACGTGAGGCCTTAACTACTTTTCCATTATAATCACCTGTGGCCTTCTTCCATTCACCTTCCCTTTTGCAAACATTGGTTGAAATTTCACAGTCTCGTTCTTGTTTTGATATTGTCCTGGATTTTTCCCTTAGAGCAATACTGTCTAAATAATTAGCTTCCCCCAACACAAAGCGAAGACTTTATATTTGAAATTCATCCGTATAAAACTTTTCTAAAATAAAGAAGTAATACATTAAAATTCATGCATGATATAGACACTGCCTTTTGTTTTGATTTATTTTGATTAAAATATAGTTTTAAATTTAATGTACACATCTCTGGTCTTTCCTATATTTCTATTGTATTACATTTAGAAAATTCTAGTTGTTTCTGGTCCTTGCTGTTGCATATTAAGGGTTCATTTGTATTGTATAGG